AGGCCTCCGAGAATGGCATCCATGTCATCATGGTTGGTCCACGTGGGATCCATCCTCCGGTGCGTCTCTTTCTATGCTGTTTGGCTCGTAGAAGTGATTTTGCTTCAGCTGCCTCCCTACTCTGCTTCATTATTTCCCCATATTTGATGCCCTCACGGGAGAAATGTGTTAGAAATTAAGGATCAGTATATATATATATATATAATTTAAATTGCTACTCTAATAGACAAAGGCACATGAGAGATCAGCGGGATAAAACAATGTGGATAGCTCCCGCTAAATTGAAAAATACACACATAACCACACAATGTGAATAGAAACTTTCCCCTGGAAGGTCAAGGTGCAACAAAAGAAAAGAGTGATGCTTGCTATATAATATGTAACAATAAAGAAATAGAGATAGAAGGTTGGAGTAAAATACCACAAGAAATAAAAGGAGAAAATAATTACAATCCCAAACAAATATTGAAGTTTACACAAAGGGAATAGAAGTTCAGTTAAGATAGAGTAGAAAAACATATGATTAATATTACCTGATAACACAAGGCAAAAAGCGGCTTGATGTGTTGGAGCACAACATCAATTTCGACATGTTGACAAACACAAGGAAATGGTTGATGCTATCATAATTTAAAAATTAAATGAATCTGAATTTAGAAAGTACCTCCATAGATTGTAATAACGTCACTATATGAGTATGCACTGTAGTCTTTCATCCAGGTCAATGTCCAGCATAAATGTTGCAAGGTACAATTGTGACAAAACCCAAGACAAGGATGGATTCCAAAGAAACCCATTTCTTGTACTCTTTTAACATATAGTAAATTAGCTCCCACCTAGAGATGATTCATTAAGCATTAAAGAGTCACCCTTAACAGGATGATGTGTAATCCTTATCCACTGCCAGTCTGATCAGCATCATCGAGACTATGACAGAAAGAGGTAAAATTTGCAAAGAAAAACCTGAAATTCCAATCACATAAGAGTAATTCCACAGTTTATTTCATATTACCAATCTTGTTGATTTCAAACACCAACACTGCTCAGCTCGATCCCCATTCAAAAACATGCTAAAACATTGTAAGTCACAAAAAAAATCAAAGAATCATAAAAAGCTTAATTATATGTAACAAAACACAAATAATCATAAAAAGCCATTAAGACATAAATTCAAGACCTCACGAAGCTTTCAGTTTGGATGACTTTTGACAAGGTATAAAGAAAATCAAACCTTGTTGTTCTAGTGTTTTAGTTGTCTAAATTCAATTAATAAAATTATTACAAAAATTTTAAAAAAATAATATGCATTAAAATGACAAGATTAGAAACTGCAAGAACCTCATCAGCTGTTCTAACAATGGAAGACAAAGTGTAGTGTTATAACCTCAAGAAACTCGGAACAACAAAGATTCGGAGAGCCCAGAACTCAAGTTTTTAGTTATGTAGTCGCAAGGAATGGGAAGCATAACTCGACCTTCTATGTCCCCGTCTTTATGTCATCCCTTTTAAAACCCTAGTTGCTTCGCGGTTTCTTCAAAAAGAGCACCAATTTTGAACAATAATTTCCATCTCTATAGCTGAAAAGAACCATTACAAATGGAATGGCAGAAGAGTGGTTTAATTAGTTAATTAACAGCATGTTAAGGACGGATTTGAAAAATAAAAATATTATTTCTTTTTATATAATTTATTATAGATGTAAAAAAGAAAAAATCATTACAAGTGGGTCCACTTTGACGAGTGGGGCTCACTCACATATATGTTTTTCACAACATAAGTTAAAATGCTTGAAAAATAAATAAGCAAAAATAAATAGGCAAAAGTGGAGAATGATTGGGCAAGTAGAGGAGACAGTTAGCGTTCATATTTTACCATAAAATTTAATTTTAATTTGCTAACGACCTTTGAGTAAAATTATACCCTTTATGTGGATTTGGGCAAAATTTGGAAAATGGTTTTGCTTATTTATGATTTTGTTTCAAAAAAATTGAAAATTTCCCCTCACTTTCCCTTCCCTTTACCATTGATAGGTTCTATGCTTTTTTGTTTTTTTGTTTTTTTTTAATAGATTGCAATTATTTACATATTAATTAGAAGAATGAGGAAAAGGGGTTCCGTAGAATTCAAACACGCAACTCATAAGAGGTGAATGACCTTAACCTAGGGTTCAATACTATTAGACTTAAGCGGGCCGTTTTTATGCCTTTTTGTATGAATAATAAAAAATGAACACAAAAAATAGTACCATGTTGCATGCAACCAAAGTTTACAAGTTAGAAATTAATAACAACTATGAAAAATCAAATCCAAGGTACCGAAATTTTGAAGCTTAAATGTTTGATGAATTGGAATGTGATGGAATGGTGGAAGAAGATGATTGTGAGGTTAGGTTTTGTGCTTCCTTGGAAAGCTGTAAGCTTGGTTGAACAGAAAGTTGAACCTATGTGGGCATAAAAGGACAAGTTTTTCAAGGCAAGAGTTGAAGGTTTCTTTGGTGTATGCCTTTGATGCTCAAGTTAGATCGAATTCTAACAAGGTAGGTTTTGGGTAGAAAGGAGAGAAAGAAAGGAAAAGAAGTTTGAAATTTGAATTTTATCTTGGTATTTGTGCAAGCCCCACTTATATAGTGTTGGGGTAGCATTTAGCTGATAGGTAAAAACTTGTGGGGAGCATACGTGTGTCGGGGTTGAACTTGGTAGGTGAGCTTTGATGGCCAATAGAAAGGTGCCATGTTGGACACGTCAAACGTGGCTCACTTGGTAAAAGATAGCAATCCTTTTACAAGGGCTAATACCAACATGTCCCACGTTCAAGTGTAGACTTGTTTTGACTTATGACAGGTTTTATATGTATCTTATTTTTTTTTATTCTTAATCATCAAATTCTAATCTTAGATAGGTAGTTCAAGTTTATTAGATATTACCTAAGTTTCATTTTAGATAACATATGTATTTAGGTCTTAAGGTGCATCTTTCTAAAGTCACAAGAGTTAAAGTTTAACTCAACTTGATTGATTATATTTTTATAAATTTTTTTAACTATCTTTTAAGCAATATCAAATACCCTTTAACTATGATCTGGGTCCATGTGGATCATTAGGGTCTTAACATATATAAGTTGCATATTTGATGATATCATATTATTCTTTTAATAAACATGTCACTTTAGATAGAATAGGAGCTGAGGAGTTATTAAGGGGCAGAGCAAAGTGACGAAACTTTGACAAAACTACAATGATAAACAATTATGTGTGTCTTTGAATGTATTTGTAACAAGGTAAAAACCTGTTTCCATTCAATTAGTTGGTTTATGACTAACTTAATTTTTAGGTTGTAATTAATGTTAGTTTATTTTCAATGAAAAATGTAGGGAAAGAATGTCAATTGTTTTAGGTGATTAAAGGCCAAATGGCCATTGGAGAACTTTTCTTCTAGGTAGTTTTCAGCTCTATTGATTGATGATTGATGACATAGAACCTTATACGAGAAAGGCCAGGTAGCAAATTGACAGAGAAGATTCGTTGCCAAGGTTGAGATTCAGCTTGAGGTTTCAAAATGAAAGGGATTCAAGATTTTAAAATGGGAATTTTTCTTTTTCATTTTTCTCTTTTGTGGTGAGGGAGAGGAAGATAGGGAAAAGGAGAGGTGGAAGATAAAGACATGGCGAATTTATGCTGGGTTGGCACTAACAGTATTTGGGCTAACGGCGCAATAACTGCATGTGACTGACGTGACGCGCTTCCCAGCCATTTGTTTGGCCTCCTTGTTTCCTTGTACGAAAAAGTTCGAGATTGTTCCAAACTTATTTTTTCCGACTGTCAAGAATTAGATCAGAATCTTATTTGTCACTACCAATAAATTAATTCAATTACTATTTGTATATAAAAATTAAAATTTAAGAGGTCAGTGTGTATATTCATAAAAATAATCAGAATTTTAATTTTAATTTAAAAATTAAAATTTCATTTTGTTAAATATTAATATTTAAATTTAAAAATTAATTATATATTTTAATATAATTAATTTTTAAATATAAATATCAATATTTAATAAAATAATTTTTTAAAATTTAAATTAAATAAAAATTAAATAAAATGATATATTTTAAAATTAAAACTCTAATTTAATTTTAGAAATTTGGATAAACATGCATTTTTTTAAAATTTTAAAATTTAGATTTGTAATTAATAATATATATAATTTTATTATTAGATTAAATGTTTCATGATATAAATTAATTAAATTAGTTATTGGTAAATAAATACTACTAACAACTTCCTCAATGAATTCTATCTAGAGACAAATATGTGTTTTATAAGAAAATTTTTGTATAAAAAAATTAAAATTTTTTGAATATATAATTATTGGATGCACAAACAGACCTTTAAGCCTAATGATTCCAACCAAATCTTAAAGGGCTTGAACGAGGTAGTTGGGTTTTAACTCTACCACCTTCTTTAAAAACTCCCTTCCCCATCCCCAAAATTGTATACGGTTCAAAAAAAATAATTGTTGGGTGCACATGCAATTCCTCTAGTATTTTCTTTCATTCATGACTTTTGGTTTTTAGCTTGTCTCCATCGTATAACCTTCATTGCCAGCAAATTTAAACCTCAACCTATCTGCACAGAGACAACAAGAATCCGGTAAGGGAAAAGAAAGGCTGAATTTTGAGACGAATTTTGTCTTCAGTCAATGTTATCACCTTGCTTAGCTTTCACAACCACCAGACCTCCATATAAAACACCATCATCTGCGGCAATCTCGCTCACCCTCCTCAAATCCACCGCACAGCTCAAACCAGCATCAAGGGGAGCAACAAAACCCACCGAGGCTACCGGCATTTGCAGAGTGGGGAAGAGAGAAAACCCAGAAAGTACCCTTCTTGCTTCATCTTCTTCCGCTTCTGGGTGGTCGACGTCGGCTAAGATGGTGGTGGTTGATCGCTACTTTCTCGGGACTCTCTTTGCATCTCTCTTTGCCTTTGTTCTTCTATGCGGTTTGCGGTACAATAATAGAAAGAGGAAGATCAAGGAGCCGAAGGCATTCCAGATCTACACTCCGAGATGTCAGAGCTCTGAAAAAAGAGAACGCTCTGCAGATACAGTCTCCGGCACTGATGTAATAATCGTCGGTGCTGGAGTTGCTGGTGCTGCTCTTGCTCATACTCTTGGCAAGGTGCATTTCGTTTCCTCTTATCTATCTTTTAAATCCATTTTTCTTCAAATTGTAACGTTTTTCTTAGTGGTTTTATGAGTGAAAATACGTAAGGCTGTGATCTAAAACTTGAAGATTTATATTTTAGTAATTTAGCTTGTATTTAGCACATTCAATAGTGTGTGGAAATGAGTATGCAACAAGGTTCAGTTACAATATTATCATGAATCATGATACCTTAAGCTCATAGTTTTATGTTCAACAAATTTGGATATAATTTGGTATTTTTGGCTTAATGGGTTCCTAAGAGAATCTGTCATAGAATGCAAAAAGTTGGTTGCTTTTGTGATCATTCTTTTCATCTCCTTCAGTAAAATCTTGAACTAGAATCTTATATTCTGTTACCAATTGCAGGAGGGAAGGCGTGTTCATGTGGTAGAAAGAGACTTGACTGAGCCTGATAGAATTGTTGGTGAACTGCTTCAGCCAGGAGGATATCTTAAATTAATTGAATTAGGCCTTGAAGGTATCAATGGAAATTAATATACATCTTGCACCTAACATTTTCTTAGCTGCAGCTGGCTATGGTAGCGAGCAAACTTTTGTATGGTTAAGTTTCTTGGCTAAATCTTGGTGTTTCTCCTAAATTTGTACTACTAACAGGGCGACGAAACATCTGTCTTATGACTGCAGATTGTGTGAAGGATATTGATGCACAGCGAGTGCTTGGATATGCTCTCTTCAAGGATGGGAAAAATACTAGACTATCATATCCCTTGGAAAATTTTCATTCGGATGTTGCTGGAAGGAGCTTTCACAATGGTCGCTTCATTCAGAGGATGAGGGAAAAAGCTGCTACTCTTCCCAAGTAATCTTTCTTGCTTTCTCTTAGGTGATTTACAATGGGTGATCAATCTTCCTAGATCCATGATGCTTGTTGACTTGTTAATGTAGTATTTGTGATATTTTGAGTCTTCTTGTGGAACCTTTCTTTTTGTTTTTAGGTTGTATTGAGTCATTATTTATCACTGCATACTTCCATGTTACTTTCAGCGTACGACTAGAACAAGGAACAGTGACATCCCTCCTTGAAGAAAATGGGACAATCAAGGGTGTACAATACAAAACTAAGGATGGTCAAGAACTAAGAGCTTATGCTCCTCTAACAATTGTATGTGATGGTTGCTTCTCAAATTTGCGTCGGTCTCTTTGCAATCCCAAGGTGAAGTTGTTTTCATGTTTGGATTGTGAAGCATTAATAGATCTCTGTTTCACTTTGGCCATAGATCATGAACACTTCATTTCTCTCATCAACAATCATCTTGATTATGTTGGAAGAAAGTTGTGAAATACCCTTTTATATACAGGAACCCCCATTTTGATAGAAACTTGATTGTGATTATTCTGCTCAACAGAAAAAGTGATTGAAGCATTTTTAACTTTTTGGCAGGTAGATGTGCCCTCTTGGTTTGTTGGCCTGGTCTTGGAGAACTGTGAACTCCCATTTGCAAATCATGGTCACGTTATTCTAGCAGACCCTTCTCCCATTTTGTTTTATCCAATCAGTAGTACAGAAGTCCGCTGCCTTGTTGATGTCCCCGGCCAGAAAGTACCTTCAATTGCTAATGGTGAAATGGCCAATTATTTAAAGGCAAGGGTGGCACCACAGGTATCTATTCTTCATACTACAGGGTTTTGTATTAATTGAAATATGATAAGTGGTCCTGTTATCTTGGTAGCTTTGCTGTAATTTTCCTTGTTAAAAGATTAAGAATCTTTTGATAAGTGATCTAATCAAGAGAGTGTCTCTCACAGCTTCCACCCGAGCTTCATGATGCCTTCATATCTGCAATTGATAAAGGTAACATCAGAACCATGCCAAATAGAAGCATGCCGGCTGATCCCCATCCTACTCCTGGTGCCCTCTTAATGGGTGATGCTTTCAATATGCGTCATCCTCTAACTGGGGGTGGAATGACTGTGGCCCTGTCTGATATTGTTGTTCTACGGGATCTTCTTAGGCCTCTGTGTGACCTTAATGATACAGCTTCCCTAAGCAAATATCTTGAATCATTTTACACATTGCGCAAGGTTAGTCAATTCTTACGATATGTTAGTTAATAATGGCCTTTCTCCGTTTGAATTCACCATATATTATTAAGAAGTCCATGGCTATACCTAAAGAATTATTTTCTCTTTCTATTGGTATAAACTTGTAGGCTGGTTTGAGTTCAATTCCAATGGCAATGTTAAAATGGATTCTTTTCACTGTTTGACCATCTAAATAACCAGTTAATAATTATGTTATTTTTTCTTTTTCCAAATTCAAAATTTATAGTGATAATTTGATTGCATGTGAACTTGAAAGATTGAAATTTTTTATGATGGGCTTGTCACTACCACTCTTGAGTTTTTCTTCCCAACTTTAGCAGGCTCTGAAATTATATGCAGTGTATTTGTTAGAGAAATGTTATTTTCACAGCATTGCTATTTTACTTGTGGCATTGTGATTTTTGCAGCCTGTGGCATCCACAATAAATACTCTGGCTGGTGCCTTATACAAGGTGTTCTCTGCTTCCCCTGATCAAGCAAGGAAGGAAATGCGCCAAGCCTGTTTTGACTACTTAAGCCTTGGAGGTGTCTTTTCATCAGGACCAGTGGCTTTACTTTCTGGTCTAAACCCCCGCCCATTGAGTTTGGTTCTTCATTTCTTTGCTGTGGCAATATTTGGAGTTGTTCGCCTGCTAGTCCCATTTCCTTCACCTAAACGGATGTGGATTGGAGCTAGGTTAATTTTGGTATGTTTTCTTCACCTTCCTATACTGCTGAGGTAGTTTTTTGTCCCACTTTCTTCCCATTTGCCTTTACTTCCTAGTCTTCTGTTCTCTATTTCCATGAGCTGAAGGATCTATCATAGAAATAATCATGCGCCTGAGTACATTTTGTAGTTATGCAAGATAAAGGATTGTGAATGTCATTTTGCTGGGAGTACTCACCAAGATAGCCTGAGCAATAGCATAAAGCAAACCTAGAATGTTACATTTTTCCTCGTTTCTTGTAATCGCACAAATTTGTTTTTTACTTAAACAAATCCAGTTATTCAAAAAGAAAACAATTAAAACAAGAGTCTTGGCAATTAATGCTTTTGGTTATACTGGACATTCCTTCATTTATTAACACATCTTCTATTTTCCCTGCTACAGAGTGCATCTGGTATTATTTTCCCCATAATCAGGGCAGAGGGAGTGAGGCAGATGTTTTTCCCTGCCACAGTTCCAGCAGTATATAGAGTTCCTCCTGTTAATTGATTTGTTCCATCAAGCTACCTCTAGGTTTTGTAGCTCCAAGAGAAACCAGGCTTAGGGTGCATCCTCTTCACTTAAAATGATGAGTGCATGTTAAGTGCATAATGCTTCAGATGACCTGTACACACATTGTAGAATTGAGACTTGAGATGACTGCATACTGTCCATTAATTGTATGAACAGAAATCCGATCGAACTTCTTGAATATGAATAGAAAGAAAACTTTATTAAATTTGTGTACATTTATGACAAGCCTGTTTCTAGAAAGATGATCTTCTCCATGCATGAGACCTTAATCATTCACCAGTTAAGGTAGTGGTGACGCAAGTGAATTGAGGTTGTATATATATTATCTCTACAATTTAGCAACCCACCCAAATTGAGATGAAAGTACTTTTTTTTTTTTTTTATACTTTAACAGTTATACGAAATCAACAAACAATCTAAAGTATTCAGTAATAATATTTAATAAGATGTCTTGATTCGAGTCTGAATTTAATTTACACTCAAGATGTGATAAATAAAATGAGTTGAAAAAATGAGAAACATTGTCTCATACACTCATATTCAACAACCCAAAAATAAACAAAAGAAAAAGTAATATTACATGAAAACCAGAGTTAGCGGCTTTCGAAAACCAGTTAGCTCGAGCCGCCAAGCCCTAGGCTGACCACCTTCTACACGCTGGTTAGTGGTTACGCAAACAATCCTGCACCCTCAAGCCGCCCTCCCCAGTCGGTTTCCGTTTCCCGAAATGTTGAAATGTCTCTCTATCTCGCGAACCTGCCTCAGGTCACTGGCTCAACCACTGACCTCCATTTCTGTCCCATCGTCGTCTTCGTTCTCTATTCTCTCCTCACCGTACTCGACTTCAAAGCACCATGGTAAAAACGGCGAAGAGGAACAATTCGTTTCGCTCTTCAATAGAGACCCAACTAGCCCGCCTCTCCTGTTCCTGGTGCAGCCCCGTCTGCGCCCCAAGACGTTTTTGCAGGCCAAGCTCAACGAGGCTCTTTGCCTCGCCAATTCCCTGGAGGAACAGCGAGATGGGTATTTTGATACTGATTTCTTTGAAAAAGAGTTGCCTCCTCATGTTGTCGTTCAAAACCCTTCTCTTCGATCCTCCAAACCCCGCGCTGGTATGTGAAAGTATTGAATCTCTCTTCTTGGGTCGCTTTTATTTCTTGTATTATGATTCTATTTTTGATTCATGATCCTTTTAATCTGCCTTTCGAATTGGTTTTTGTTTTAAGCTTTCTGTTCTTTAATTCTATCTTGCTTATCAATGGATAGACACATATTTTGGACCTGGAACTGTGGAAACAATCAAGTGCCATCTTACTGATGTGGAGTCCAAGGCAAGGAGCTTTTCTCATTCTTGTCTTTCCATGTTCTAAACCACCAAAATCTGTTTACTGTTTAAGTGGGACTTATGGAATGCAACTTAGATCCTTAATCATTGCCATATCATTTTACTAGGGCGAGGTCGATGCTGTTTTTGTCAATACCATTCTCTCTGCCGTTCAGCAACGTAATTTGGAGGCAAGTGGTGCCTGTATGATTTCTTTTCTGTTTTTGTCAATGCAAGCTGCAGCCCCACAGCTTAATAATATTTTCTCAATTTTCCATTCCCAAGAACAGCGAATTTGGGGCAAGCCTGTGTTAGATCGTGTGGGCCTTATAATAGAGATATTCAATGCTCATGCACACACAAAAGAGGCGAAGCTACAGGTGAAATTGCTTGCTTTACTAGAGAAGTTCCATGGACTGTGGTGTTGCGTGTGCATTTTGGTATTCTATGAAGCTTGTTTTATGGACTTCATTTTCTGGAGCTCTTTTCTTTGACAGGCTGAATTGGCTGCTCTTATGTACAAGAAGAGTAGGCTTGTCCGAGTACGTGGCCCTGATGGACGCCATACTTTTGGAGCAGCTGGGGAAGCTGAAGTTGTTAGTGCCCGGGGGTAAGTTTATTGCCTCAATTTCTTGTAGAAGAGTGGTGGAAATTGCATTCAATATTTAAGTTGGTTCTAATTCTATTGGGAGGTATGGTGCCTTCGCTAATGTATTCCTTTGTTGCCCTAGTCCATCTTGCTCTTGTATAAATGCCATATAAGAGTATAATCCTGTTGCTCTGTTTTGTTTTTGAAAAACAAACCAAATAATTATCCTGAGAAGAGCAGTTTGAAGAAGCAGCATTTTGTACCAAGATCTAATGACACTTATGGTGAATTTGACCTGATCCATGTGTAGATTCATCACTCCTCCTCTGCCCAACTAAAAGAAAAGCAGTCATGTCTGGTCATTTACAGGAGTTATAATAATTTCTTCAAATTCTTGAAATGGTTTTGAATATGTTCAAATACTGCTCGCAGGAAAGGAAGTGGAGGACGTGGTTCTATGAGTGGTGCTGGAGAAACAGAACTTGAGCTTCAACGTCGAAGGTATGTTTCATTCTAATTCATGGGAGGATTCTTCAGTTACTGGTATTTTCTTTACTTTAAGTTTCTGTGTGTCATAAGAGAAGAAAATTAGTTTCTGTTATATAAGATGTTTGACAGTATCAACTTATTGAATTTTGCCATTGAATTTTACGTTAAAAAGAGGATTTTAATTGTGGTTCTCTGCCTCTGCCAGTATGATAAGTTTTATCTTAACATTTGTGTATTTAGATGTTAACCAAATGGAACTATAATCTCAGAATTATGGAACGGCGGAGTCTATTGTTATCCAAGATTGAAGAGGTTCGACGAACCCGTGCCATGCAACGTGCTGCTCGTAAGAGACGTGGTGAACTTCAAGGTCATGGTCTGCCTACTGTTGCTGTCGTAGGGTACACAAATGCTGTAGGTGGTTAAAATATAATCTGATCAAAAACTTGTTTATGTTGCTGCCATAGAGAAAGTTTGTTTGTCTTTTAACAGTCTAAAATATTCATTTGGTTTCTTGTTATCTCTAAGCATTTTGATCTCTTCCTCTTTTGATAGGGAAAATCTACATTAATCAGTGCGCTCTCAGATAGTGATCTTTATAGTGATGCACGGTATTTATAGTTATAGGCTTAAAATATTTGTTCCTTGAATTTGGATCCTGTATTGCTCAATTTGATTCTTAGATGTCTTGTTTTTTGCCTAATTGGGGGCATGGACTTTGTGCAGATTGTTTGCAACCTTGGATGCTAGACTAAAAGGTGTTATTCTTCCTTCAGGGTAAGATGATCCTCATCTAACCTAATTTTGCTTTCTCTCATGTCATGAGACTTGAAGATAAGAGTAGTCTTTTTAGATTTTATCTTTATGATCTTTTATCCTTCACTTGTTTAATCATATGGATAATGTTCAGGAGGAAAGTGCTACTTAGTGATACTGTGGGATTTATTTCAGATTTGCCAGTGCAGGTAACCAAGAAGCATGTTCTGTTTATCTTTTAATAATACAGGTTATTGGTTTATCTTGTACCCTGGCTCAAATCAAACTTACTTTTGTAGTTAGTGGAAGCGTTTCATTCAACTTTGGAAGAAGTGGTAGAAGCTGATCTCCTCCTGGTATGAATTTACTACTTTGTTGCAGTTCGGGGTTTGCAATTTCTTTGAAACTCATTAACCTTATGGTCACTTCTTATCTTGGTCATATGTGAGAAAGGTCACGGTTGGTTCATGGAAAGGCCATTCCATGATTATTACGTGAAAATAGAGGGAGAGTATGACAGGGTAGGAATGTTCATTATGTATTTTCTTTTAATGTGAGGAAATGAAGTGGTGATAGTTAAAACCTAGGAAGAAGAGAGCAGTAGCTATTACCAACTAATTCCTACTTTTTCAAAGAAAAATTATATTCACCTTTTTTATTTTGCCAGCCTCTCCTTATTTTTTTTTATCTTTTATTTATTTTTGTTTTTTAATCATGGAACAGCCATTCCATGAACCAAAGAGTTTAAAAGTTATATGTTATCATGCTCCTCTTTTATTCCTCCTTTTATATGGTAAAATATTTATCATGCCGTATAGCAGAATCACATTGGTCTTTTGAATTTAAATTGAGAGACTGCTGGTAGTATAACTCAGCTAAGTTTTGCACTGTACAAGTTGGGTAAGTAGTAAGCACTTTAGGCATCATAATTCTCTATTAGTGGATTGCTAAAGAGCTTCTGCTAATTATCTTTAATAAGAAAAAAGAAGGCTTGTTATTTGAATCAAGCTAGTTCCTTTGGATATCAACTATCATGTGAAACAAGGGATTATTTTATTTTATTTTGTTGTTACTGTTGGTCAAACTTTTTAGTACATAGTTTTGTTGATCTAATATAGCAGTATGGCCATGAGAAATTCCAAGACAATGTCATACAATCAATAATCTCTGATGCAGTGTTACATTTGAAATATGCATCTCGATCTCTTTTTGGCTCCATGTTTCAATCAGTACAAATCGAAATAAGTCAAGATTGTTACTCTATTAAGTACACTTTTAATTGTCTAATGGATTCTTCATGTACTGATGCAGCATGTGGTAGACAGTACGGCCCCTAACCTTGATGAACATTGTTCAACAGTGTTGAAAGTTCTACAGCAAATTGGAGTTTCAGAGGAGAAAATTCAGAATATGGTAGAAGCCTGGAATAAGGTAACTAGAATGCACTATCTGCCCCCTGCTTCCTTCAAAAATCTGGCCTATGACATAATAATGGAACTGTCAAAATGTGTTATCAACTTCTAACTTCACAATCTGTGCAGATTGATTACCAAGAAGAAATGGATGATGAAGAATATATGGATGAAGGTGAAGATGCTGAAATTAGTGATTTATCAGGTCCAAAAGATGGCAACACTGACAATGTTTTAGGAGAGGAAGCTGACAATGTGGCGTTTGAGCAATTAGATGGGAAGTCTATTGATAATTATGCTGCTGCTGAAGATGATGCATATATGGATGACAAGCAAGATGATTATTCAGATGGCTGGCTGGTTGAAGAAGAAGAATGCAACTCTGTCGATGATTATTGGAATACCCTTAATGACCAACAAAACGAGTCCCCTAATAACTGGAGTTTGGAAAAGGATTCTCAAGCCCAAACTCAAGCTCAGCATGCTCCACATGTCAGGATATCTGCTATAACAGGAGTTGGCTTGCAAGAATTGTTAGAAATTATTGATGAAAGGCTAAAAGCTCAGGATGAGAAGGTAAAGCCTCAAAAAGTAGTGGAAAGTGACCTCTTCAATCGAAAATGGAGGCCCCCTCGCAAAGATGATGGTGACAATGACATAGCAGTTCAACAGTAGCATGGTTCCAGGATAAGTGTCACAGTTGGCATGAATCATTAGGAAACTGAAGGAACAAAAGGGGAGTCTCTTACACCGTGTTAGTATTTGTTTGGGTATGATAGAAGATTGTCATCCTAGACAGGCATCAGCTACAGAGCAAGCATGAGTCCTCTCTCCTTTCATGAGTGTTATGAATAATCAATGCTGCCTCCTAATCTTGCCCATTGAGCAAAATAAAAAAGAGGCTGTACATTAGACATATCCAATGTTGCTGTTAAGATTTATATGGTGTCTTGAGCAATCCATATTTTCAATTTTGATATGTAGCTCGTGTAATGTTTTTAATTTTAAGAGGGAAGAAGTAAGACTTATTTATAGATCACAACCATTATTGAATTAAAATTTAAGTCATGTTTGATTAGAGTACTCCTTGATTATTTATTGATGTAAAAAGAAAAATAAATATTAAAACTTAATTATTTTTAACTTTTAATTTCTCAATTTTAGGTTTTTTTTTCTCTGTTTTTCAGTTTTAGAAAGAATAATCATTACTAATAATCAAACAAGTCCTTGGGCTATCTTTAATTTGGCCAGGTTGATCTTATATTTGTTATTTAATCATTATATATATATTTGTTAATTAATACTCCATGATAAAACAATTTATATTTATTAATACTTATATTTAATAATAACTTAAAATAATCATATAATTGATATTTCTAAACTCTAAATGCCATAACTAGTTGTTTCAAAAAAAAAAAAAATCAACATTGCTAAAAAGACCATTTTTCATATCCTGCCACGTCTTTGTCTTACCAACTTACAAGCACAAGAACAATGATTCAAATGAGAGATATTTTTTTAAATATAATTTTATATATCAATTAAATAATTAAATTTTTTATTTAAAATTTAAAGTTATAATATTAAATTTATTTATTTATATAAAAAGATTATATGTATATGAACAATCAATTGCGAAGGTGTTTTAATTCCTACAAAACGGTGTCGTTCCACTTGCCGACTCTCCGTAGGACGTTTCCGGAATCGCGGGTTGATTTTTCAGTGAAAAAAGATTGAAAGCGCTGTCGTATTCACAATATCTCAGATTCCATTGCACAGTCACTAACGAAATGAAATAGAGCTGCTACTATTGCTGCGAAAATAGCTAAGAGGTAAAAACTCGACACTCGCAGCTCCAGTATCTCTCACCCTAAATGCTTGCTGATGCTCTTTTCTCCATCTAAGGTAATCTCTCATCTCTCGCTTGCTCATCTTCTTCATGGATCTGCTGCTGCTTCAATTCTCACTTTCCTTCAACTGATGTTTATGTCTGTTTGAAACTCTATACAAACAGATCCAGCGAAAGCTGTTAATCTCCCTGTTTCTTGTGATTTCAACTTTTCTTGGAGCTTTTCTCGATTTTTCGTCGCGAAATACATTCAATTCAGTGATTTCTGTTCTCTTTTGCTTTGAGGAGGCGGAGAATTGAGCATTATCTTCTATTCTGTTCTGGCATGAACAGTTGACACCTTAAAATCTGTTGTTGAATTTGAATCAGTGTAAATAGCGAGAAAGTGTTCTGTTAGAGTAGCCATGTCAAGGAGGCCAGTGAGTTCCACTCGCCGTTTTGTGGACAGTGGAAACTTTCCTTTTGCCGGTGCTCTACATTCAAAGTCACGATCTTCTCCCATACTCACCATTGGTCTTGTAGTTGTGGTACGTTTACTTTTTCATATCTATGTAGTTTTTGTTTTTGAACTCCAACTATCGCCATTTATATGCATATTTTTTGTAAAACTTGCAGGGAGCTTTTCTTATCATCGGCTATGTTTGTAGTGGCTCAGGTTCATATATTTAGTTTTAGTTTTTATAACGCTATTCTTTGTTTTGTTCGTGTGGTTCTATACTCCGATTAAAGCTGTTCTTTATTTGAAATACAGGTAAATTTCAAGGTGAAGCAGTTAGTAGAATTGAAGGTAAGTTTTGTTTTTCCTTATTCTGCTTCATTTGTCTTTCAGTTTCAATTGTGTTAATGAGGTTACTGTTGTATTTGATACTTGCCAAATAATATGAAAACTGGGTTTGTTGTGATAAGTGATAATGCCTCAACGAAACTACTTATATTTTTAAAAGATTAGCTTGTTAAGCATTTAAAGTTATTTTAGCATCTATATAACTGCTAAATCACGATCTAGACAGTTCTTTTAAACAAAATCGATTTCAGGTCTCACATCAGGATATTCTTGTTAACCGTTTCTATTTCTTGGGAAAGAACGGGAAGAAGATTTTTATGCTTGCTATGAACTGAGACTGCAAATCCTATTTGCTTCCCCCATGCGATTTATATACAAATATTGTTGGTTCCTCTGAAGTGCTAATATTTTATTTTTTGCAAAAGTTCCAATAAACAACACAAAAGAACTGTCATCTAGGCAGTTGGACATTGGGTTTTTTCCAACTGAAAGAACTGGTAATAAATTAGAGAAACCGCATTAATTCCGGAATCCAGAAATGTTCATACTTCCTACAGTTGAAGAATTTGGTCTGTGTCTTTGTTATTCAATGCTGTTAATCTTGGCTGACAGAGTACCATTTTGAACCATTTGAAGTCATGTCCTATTTCAATTCTTTGCATGAATAATATTTCTACATCTGGAGTCAAAAGTGAATTTATGGTTCAAAATGGGTTTGAACTACTTCAAATAAAGGAATGATATGACATTTATTATTTTAAAACATAACTAATTACCTTCCGTAAGTATTCTGGCCAATGTTAGTGGGGCATTGTCATTCTGCAGGTGACTATTCATGCATGTTAGAAGTACAGAGGGCAATACCTATTCTCAAGAAAGCATATGGTAGCAGCATGCACAAAATATTGCATGTAGGCCCTGATACTTGTTCTGTAGTATCTAAACTGTTGAAAGAGGATGAAACTGAAACATGGGGTGTGGAGCCATATGACATAGAGGATGCAGATGCAAACTGCAAGAGTCTAGTGCGCAAAGGCATTGTCCGTGTGGCTGATATCAAGTTCCCTCTTCCCTATAGACCAAAGTCATTTTCTCTTGTTGTTGTGTCTGATGCTCTTGATTACCTATCTCCGAAATACCTGAACAAGACTCTTACTGATTTAGCAAGGGTAGCTGCTGATGGTCTTGTTATTTTTGCAGGTCATTACTTATTCTTTTCTTTGATATTCATTCCTTATTCTTTTGGATTACCTCTATATTATAAACATAATTTTGTGATAATTGTCATATGCTAGAGGAATCTGGCTTTGTTATCTACTTTCTCTTCATCCATGCGGTCAATTTCACTGAAGGGTTTTCCCTCTTTTTCTTTTTATTATTTATTATTATTATTATTTTTTGGGTTCCATGCTCGGAGTAATTAATGTATACTTTGGTATATGTGAATTTTTAAACATCTTTTATTTGTGTTTCAGGTTCCCCTGGTCCTCAAAGAGCTAAAGTTGCAGAATTGTCCAAATTTGGGCGGCCGGTGAGTGGCTACATACCTTAATGGAATCTAGAATTAAAACAGGCCACAAACCTTATTTTGTTTTGAATCTAATTTAACTTTTAACGGAGATTTTTTTTTGTTCAGGTTTTGCTTTTTAAATATTATTTAAATTCATTACTTTTTCTAGGGCTTTCACATATAGAGAAGACAACTAATTTGACAGAAAAATATAGATCAGATATTAATGTGTTTGGTTGGAACATGTAGTGGATCTAATATGCAGAATAGGTTAATGAATGGCGTGATGGAATTGTGTTGAAAAAAGTCCAAAAATCATCGTCATTGACTTAATGACTCTTTGGACTTGGGTTGCTGTATGATTTCTCTTTTCACTGAATTCAGCACAAGTGATAAAATCCATTAACTTTTCAAATAAAATATCAGAGTATGAAGGTAGACACACACAGACACACACATCTATGCCAGGTTTATTCTGAAGTTGAGTTGCTATATTGGCCTTATAATTGACATGGGTGCTTTATCTGTGAAGGCCAAAAGGCGGACTTCATCTTGGTGGATTCGCTTTTTCGTCCAAACAAACTTAGAAGAAAATGAAGCTGCCATTAAGAAGTTTGAGCAGGCTGCATCGAAGAGGTCATATCAGCCAGCATGCCAAGTGTTTCATCTAAATCCTTA